CGGGCTATAGTCCCAGCTACTCGGGAGACTGAGGCAGGAGAATGGCGTGAACCAGGAGGCGGAGCTTGCAGTGAGCCAAGATCACGCCACTGCATTCCAGGCTGGGCAACAGAGCAAGACTCTGTCTAAAAAAAAAAAAAAAAATACAAACAAAAAAATTAGCTTGAGTGTGGTGGTGGGGCGCTGTAATCCCCAGCTACTTCAGGAGGTTGAGGCAGGAGAATTGCTTGAACCCGGGAGGTGGAGGCTGCAGTGAGCCAAGATCATGCCACACTGAGCCTGGGTGATACAGAGGATCTGTCTCAAAAAAAAAAAAAAAAAAAAAAAAGACGAGGGAAAAGAAAAGAAAATAATTAATTGTAGGAATAGATTTTATTCAATCGATATTCAAAATATCACCACTTCAGCATAATCAATATAAAATTACCCATGAGACGTTTTATATGCTTAGACTAATTTGATGCTCAATTTCAAAGCATTAAATGGAGACTTACCAAGGCACTATCATGCTTTAAGCGGAGAGATATGCTGTTTCTGTTTCTTTTAAAGTTAAATTTAAATTAATTAAAATAAATAAATGGAAAATGTTCACTTTCAGTCACATCATACATTTCTAGTGCTAAATAGCCACCTACACCAGTGGTTTCTGAGATGGACAGCACAGGTCTAAGACATTTGCATTTACCTGTCTTGTTTGTGGACACCACACAGAGAGATCATTCCAGAGGAGGTCTCTGCAGATATTAGTTGGAGAACAGACATGGATATCGGGAGAATGCTGGATGAGTGGATATGGATGGATGGATGGATGGATAGATGGTTGGATGGATGGATGGATGGATGGAGGATGCATAGAGCATGATGATAGATGGCTGGTTGAATGATACCTGGCTGAGTGGAGACAATGGAGGGAAGATGGAGGGATGGATGGATGGATGGATGGATATTTGGATGATGGATGATATTGCTTAAGGAGGATGTCTGGATGATTGGATGGATGGATGAGATAGTGATGAATGGATGGATAGATAGTGAAGTTTAGCCCATTGATAGATAGTGATGAATGGATGGATAGATAGTGATGAATGGATGGATGTATGGATGGATGGAGGAATGGTTGGGTGATGGTTGGATGAATAAATGGCTGAATGAATGGAGGATGGATGGATACATGGATGGTTGGATGGTTAGGTGGCTAAATGAATGGATGAAAAATGGATGGATGGGTGATGGATGGCTGGATAGATGGATGATCGAGTAGAAGGTTGGATGGATGAATGGATGGATGGATGATGAATGGATGGATGGGTGATGGATGGCTGGATAGATGGATGATTGAGTAGAAGGTTGGATGGATGGATGAATGGATGGATGGATGATTAATGGATGAAGAGGTGGATGGTTTGATGGCTGATGAATGGATGGAGGGATGGGTGGTTGGATGGGTAGATAGATGGATGTTGAATGGATGATTGGATAAGTGGTTGGGTAGCTGGATGAATGGGTTGGGTGGATGGATGATGGAAGAATAGAGGGACAGGCAGATGCATAGATAGAGGGATGAACAGCTGGAGGAATGAATGGGTGTATAATCCTCGCTCCTCTCACTACCCATGACCAAGTGGCACTGCGTTTTCCACTTGCATTTTCCCACACTCTTCATCCTTTTTTTTTTTTTTTTTTTTTTTAATTGAGACCGAGTTTTGCTCTGTCACCCAGGCTGGAGTGCAGTGGCACAATCTCGGCTCCCTGAAACCTCTACCTCCTGGATTCAAGCAATTCTCTGCCTCAGCCTCCTGAGCAACTGGGATTACAGGCACCCACCACCACTCCCGGCTAATTTTTATATTTTTAGTAGAGATGGGGTTTTACCATGTTGGCCAGGCTGGTCTTGAACTCCTGACCTCGTGATCCACCCGCCTCGGCTTCCCAAAGTGCTGGGATTACAGGCGTAAGCCACCGGCTCCGGCCCACTCCTTCATCGTTCTAGTCTCATCCTTGTCTCCCAGATGTCCAATCCCCTCAGATTCATTTCTGGGGGTTGATGGTCTCCACTAGTATCCCTGCACTCCCATAATTGGCTACAATGTCACTCTGGTGTCTTCTGGTTCTTCCCTGCCACCTCTGGGAGTGGACCCCTCGCCTCCCAGAATCAGGCTTTTGCGTCTCCTCAGCTCCCTCCTCATTTTCCACAGAGATTCGATGGACTTCTCCTTGCACCACCATGACCCTCACTCATTCCATCACATCTTCCTCTGACAATTCATTCATTCCACCAACAGGCATTTATTGAGCATCTACTATATTCCAGGCTGTTCCCTTGGGAAACAACTGAAGATGTGACATAAAACAAGCCCTTCTTTCATGGGGTTGACAGTCTCGTGGGGAGACAGATGATAAACAAGACAAAGAAGCAAAACATTTAGGAGGTCAGATGGTGATGAGTGCTATGGGAAACAGTAAAACAGGAAAGAGGAATGGAGAAGTTGGTGGATGAGCCTGGGGGAGGTGACACTGGGCAGACTCGCATGAGGGGAGCCCACGAAGCTCCCAGGTATCGGGAACCGCATGCCAGGTGGGGGAAAAGCAAGGGCAAAGGCCCTGCAGTAGAAGCCTCCCCTGGGTCTTAGGCCTCCTAGTTTGGCCAATTTCTTGCCACTGCCCACTCAGGTACAACCTCAGGCCCTACTGCTCCCTTCCCCGACCTTCCTGTGCCCCAGGGCTGCCTCCCCACCTGCCTGCCAGTTTCCCTCTCAGGACCCCTAAGGACCTGGGCATTCCCTTCCCCAGACTCTCCCCACCTCCCCGCCCCAGCAACACACAGAGCCAGGACAAAGGGTCATTGAATAGAAAACAAAGGTGTAGGCAGCCCAGCCCGAGGCCAGGTGGGGTGTCATGGTTCAGTCCCCCACCTCCAACATCAGAGGGGTTCACTCAGCCTCAGAGGGGGAAGCCTGGCCCTCTCACCCTTCCACCCGCCCTGCAGGAGAGCCCTTTTCGCAGCAGGGAACATCAAGGCTTAACACTGAAAGTACCAAGGCAGAATGTTGAGGATGTGGAGTCAGTGGTGGCTGGGGGCAGGGGTGGGCGCTCCCACAGCTCAGCCTCCTGGAGACGTGTCTTGGGGTGGTGAACTGAGAGATGGGATATCCCAGAACCCTCCTCTTCTGCTCGCCCTCAGAGTGAAGGTGGGCAGTGCTGTGTGACCTGGGAGAAGTCACATGACCTCTCTGGGCCCCCTTTCTGCATCTGTTCGATGACTCTGACATCTTCCATCCCCCTCACCTATGCAACAATAATTGGTCAGTAAATACAATTTTGTTTGTTTTGGCTTTTTTTTTTTTTTTTTTTGAGACAGAATTTTGCTCTTGTTGCCCAGGCTGGAGTGCAATGGCGCGATCTTCGCTCACTGCAACCTCTGCCTCCAGGGTTCAAGCGATTCTCCTGCCTCAGCCTCCTGAATAGCTGGGATTACAGGCACCTGCCACCATAACCTGCTAAATTTTTGTATTTTTAGTAGAATGGGGTTTCACTGTGTTGGCCAGGCTGGTCTCAAACTCCTGACCTCAGGCAATCCACCCGCCTCGGTCTCCCAAAGTGTTGGGATTACAGGCATGAGCCACTGCGCAGGCCTTCTTTTGGCTTTTTTTTTTTTCTTCTTTTTTTTTGAGATGGAGTCTCTCTCTGTCGCCCAGGCTGCAGTGCAGTGATATCTCAGCTCTCTGCAACCTCCACCTCCCAGGTTCAAGTGATTCTCGTGTCTCAGCCTCCCAAATAGCTGGGATTACAGGCACCTGCCGCCACTGGTGGGGAGACTGGCTTCATGGCCAGACTCCAGGACTCTTACGGGTCAGGGACCAACAGCTGGGGAGGGCCAGCGTTTGGGGTAGGGGCAGAACAGAAGAGAACACTGTCTATGCTGAGCCCACTGTGTACCAGATACTCCACCAGCAGCTGAGAAGGTCTCCCTCAGTCCTCACAGCAGCCCGACGGGTGCCATTCACAGATGGGGAAACCAAGGTAAGATGAGCCTCTGAGCCTGGTTCCAGGCCGCACAGCTGGGAGGCACTGGAGCTGGGATTTGAACCAGGGCTGTGACCTTCAAACTCTCACGCCCAACCATATCTGGCAGTCGTCTCTCATATCTGTGTCTTTCCCTGTCCCTGACCTTTCTATGTATCTCTGTCTCTGCCCTCCATGTATCTCTGTTGGGTCTTTCAACGTCTCTGGCCCCTGTGTGTCTCTGTCTCCTCTCCTCTGGGTCTCTGTGTGTCTCTGTCTCTGCCCTCCATGTATCTCTGTTGGGTCTCTCAAGGTCTCTGGCCCCTGTGTGTCTCTCTCTCCTCTCCTCTGGGTCTCTGTGTGTCTCTGTCTCCGCCCTCAGTGTATCTCTGTTGCGTCTCTCAAGGTCTCTGGCCCCTGTGCATCTCAGCCCCCTCTAGGTCTCGGTCTCCCATGCGCTCTGCCCTCTCCCTCTCTCCCTGGCTCTGTGCTGCTGTGGTCCTGGCTGTGCCTCTGTCCCTGTGTGTGTTTCCAGGGTGCCCCGAAGCATCAGCCCGTGAAGGCGAGTTTCTGTCGCCCGTCCCCAGCGGTGGCCTAGTGCCTGGAACAGTGCGGGGCAGACGGGAGATGCTCAGTAAATATTTCTCAAATGAATAAAGGAATGAATGAGTGAGTGAATGAATGAGCTCGCTGAGATGGGCGAGATCAGCGCCATTTCCCAAATGAGCAACGTGGGCTCCAGGTGGGCGCCCACAGGCCCAGAACTGCCAGCCCGGAAGGTTCCAGCGTGGGCTTGACACTGACCCCCTGGACTCTGCCCCCAGCTGAGCACCAGACGCCAGGACGTGCCCATCACTGCTCCTCCCCGCCCTCAGAGCAGGGTGACTCCCTCCGGCCTCTCCCCGCTGTCGGAGGCGTGGGTAGCAGCTGGGAAAACCGGCTGGGTGCTGCCCCTCCCCTTGGGCCGGGCACAGAGTAGGCACCTGGCGGGCTCCCCAGGTGGCAGACGCTGTCGCTGCGCACACCTGGCCTCCGTGCCGCCTGCTCCCTGCTCGTCCTCCCCTCCCCACCCTCACCCACCTGCCATGGACGGGCCCACTGAGCCCCAGATCCCGGGCTTGTGGGACACCTATGAACCTGACATCTCGGAAATCAGGTGAGGCCCAGACCTGGGCAGGAGCCAGGAGATCCCGGGGAGGACATGGCTGTTTGGGGGAGCCAGGGGCTGTGGCAAGGGTGGCCTCCAGCCTCCCATGGCGGCAGGCCTAGCCCAGACTTGGCTGGCGGGGCTGGGCTGGGCTGGAGCATCCAGCATGGTGTACAGGTCCCTCCTGAGAAGGGAGTGAGGACCCGGCTGTGCTGAGTCACCAGCGGGGATGCCTGTGGTGTTCCTGTCCCTCTCTGGGCCTCAGTTTTTCTGTCTGTCAAAGGGGCTCACAAGCCCTGTGTCTCCCTGATAGAGGAGTGGAAGAGAGCAGGCCGCTTGGTGCGCAGTAGTTGCTCAGGAAACACAACGGCCTGTAGTGCCCAGGACACCCCATGCAAGCCTGAAATAAAGGGGGTGTTTAGGGTGAAATGGGAGAAACTGGGACGCCGCTGAGACCCAGAGGGAGTCTGTGTTCTAGGGGGCTTGGGGCTGAGAGGGCAGGCTCCGGACCCTTCAGGTATCCTAAGAGTGGTTAGGGCAGAGTACTGCCCACCTCTGTGAGCTCAGCGTGACTCCCTGTTCCTGGGGGTGAGTCAGGCACTTTGACAGCACCTGCTTTCCAGGTGGGGAAACTGAGGCTGGGAGGGAATGCGACATGACCGCAATTACAAAGCTAGAAGCAAATCTGAAGCCAGTCTGTCTCACCCCAGAGCCTGTGGTTTCTCCTGCACCTCATGGCCTTGGTGATATCCCTTTACACCCCTCCCCGTGGCTCCATTTTCCAGGTGAGCGTGCAGAGGCCCAGAGAGGGCAGGCAGCCTGCCCCATATCACACAGCGAACTGCTGAGACAATCTGCAGTCCCTCGTATCTTGTACTCTTGCCAAGTGGACCTTCCTGGCAGCCTGGACCCCTCCAGCCACTGTGGGCTGTGAGGAGGAGGACAACCAAGACCCGTTCTCAGCCCAGTTGCCTCATTCCTTTCTTATTTTATTTTTTGAAATGGAATTTCGCTCTTGTTGCCCAGGCTGGAGTGCAATGGCACAATCTCAGCCCACTGCAGCCTCCGCCTCCCGGGTTCAAGTGATCTCCAGCCTCAGCTTCCCAAGTAACTGGGATTACAGGAGCCTACCACCATGCCTGGCTAATTTTATTTTTGTATTTTTGGTAGAAAAGGGGTTTCGCCATGTTGGTCAGGCTGTTCTTGAAATCCTGGCCTTAGGTGATCCACCTGCCTCGGCCTCCCAAAGTGCTGGGATTACAGGTGTGGGCCACCGCGCCTGGCTGCCTCCTTTCATTCCACTGTTTCAGGTCCTCCCCTCCCCTCCCTCAGCCAGAAGCTGGGGCATGGAGAGGCCTTCTTGGGTGCCTGGGACTCCAGAGACAGGCGCAGTTCAATCCTGATTGCTGTGTGACCTAGACAAGCTTCCTAGTGTCTCTGGGCCTCCTGGGCTGAGAGCGGTGACCAGGCTGGCCCAGTTCTGCTTGAGGGAGGCCCCAGCATTCGGTACTCAACTTTGGCTAATCCAGGCCTTCTGAGCTCTGCAATTCTTCCCTCCGGAGATAAACAGATAAGCCAGCTCGCCTCTGGGAAGGCCTCACCCCCACCCCATCCAGGCACCTGGGAGCCTTTTTTTTTTTAATCTCTGCTAAGGCCCTGCCAGCTGGTCATAAAATGCCCTGAGTGTGCTCGCTAAGTGGGTGACCTTGGTTCAGTCATTGACCCTCTGTGACGCTCGGTTTCATCATCGTGAGGGAGAACAGCCCTCCCCTGCAGGACTCCTCCAGCCCTGAATGGCTGCAGCGCCCTGGGGGGTGCCCTTAGGACCTCAAACTTCCAGGCTCTTCTGGAATCCCCTAGGCCAGGAAGCGTGCCTCTCCCCAGCGAGCCCACTGGAGCATCCCCCTGGGGCCTGCTTCCTCCTGGGTGTCCCCCTCTCGGGTCCCCTCAGATACACCACATCCCCCTGAACTCAGCAGCCCCCCCAAATTCGCATCTCCTCCTGGGTTGCCCATCTCAGGGATGCCCCCCCCCCCACATCACTGGCTCAGATCCACAGGGCTTCTCCTGGCCCCGACTTTCCCCCCTGCTCGCCCCCAGCCTGTCAGTCCCCAATCCCCACCCCCGTCCCCTGACTCTCTGCCCCAGTTCTTCCTGTCGGTTGCCACAGCCCCAGCTCGGGCCTCCTCATCTCCCCCCAACACCACCTCAGCTGTCCCAGGCTGCTCCTCCCTTCCTCCCAGCCATCCTGTGAATTCCTCAGCGCCCAGCCCTCACCCACCCCGCCCCCAGCCTCCTCACCTGCATTCCAACTACTCTACTACTTTGTTTTTTTTTTTTGAGACTGAGTCTGGCTCTGTCACCCAGGCTGGAGTGCAGTGGCACGATCTTGGCTCACTGCAACCTCTGCCTCCTAGGTTCAGGTGTATTACCTCATCTAATCCTCACCGCCATCTGAGATGAACCCACTCTGATGTCATCCCGTGTTAGAGATGAGGCCCAGAAAGGTTGAGTGACTTGCCTAGGGTCACACAGCTGCCAAGCAGGGAACAGCCAAGATTTGAACCAGGAAAGCCTGACTGTATCATGCCCTGGACAGCAAATGTAGAGATGATGAGCAAGACCAGGAAGGAGCGAGATCCAGGAGGTAGACTCAGCCCAGCTGGGAGGCGTAGCAGGCGCTCTGAGGTTCTAGCCTCCCGAGTAGCTGGGATGATAGGTCCGTGCCACTGCGCCCGGGTAATTTTTTTTTTTTTTTTTTTTTTTTTTTGAGATGGAGTCTCGCTCTGTAGTTCAGGCTAGAGTGCAGTGGCACAATCTCAGCTCACTGCAACCTCGGCCTCCCAGGTTCAAGCGAGTCTCCTGCCTCAGCCTCCCAAGTAGCTGGGATTACAAGCACCTGCCACCATGCCCGGCTGATTTTCATACTTTTAGTATGGACAGGGTTTCACCATGTTGGCCAGGCTGGTCTCGACTCCTGATCTCAGGTGATCCACCCACCTTGGTCTCCCAAAGTGCTGGGATTACAGGTGTGAGCCACCGCGCCCGGCCTATCTACTCTATTACTTCAAATTACTTCTGGCCACACTGTTCCCTGCCACAGTGCCTTTGCTTATCTGGCTCCTTCCACAGGGATCCCAGAGAGATCTTTTCTCTCTTTTGAGACAGAGCCTCGCTCTGTGGCTCATGCTGGAGTGCAGTGGCACGATCTCGGCGACTGCAATCTCTGCCTCCTGGGTTCAAGCAATTCTCTTGCCTCAGCCTCCGGAGTAGCTGGGATTACAGGCATGTGCCACCACGCCCAGGTAATTTTTTAAAAAATTTATTATTATTATTATTTTTTGGAGATGGAGTCTTGCTCTGTCACCTGGGATTTCTGTCACCCGGCAATTCTTCTGCCTCAGCCTCCCGAGTAGCTGGGATGACAGGCACACTCTACCACGCCCGGCTAATTTTTTATATTTTAGTAGAAATGGGGTTTCATCATGTTGGCCAGGCTGGTCTCAAACTCCTGACCTCAGGTGATCTGCCTGCCTCGGCCTCCCAAAGTGATGGGATTACAGGTGTGAGCCACCGCGCCCGGCCTAATTTTTGTACTTTTAGTAGAGACAGGGTTTCACCACTTTCGGGCCTTTGCATGCACCAGTGCCCCGTCCTTTGCCTGGACTGACCTCTGCCCTCTCTCCTTCCTTTGCCAAACTGCTCAGGCTTTAAGATTCAACACAGGCAATTTAGGATTTTTGGCCAGGGGGATGAGAGAATGCAGGCAGACACCCACCCCAGGTCCCAGGTCCCTGATCATGCTGGTCTAACTTCAAATCTGCCCCATGGCACCAAAATATTGACCTGCTCATGGATAGGAAATGAATGTGGGAAATTTGTGAAAAGGATGTCGAGAATGAATGAATGAATGAATGGAGGTTCCATTAAGCAACCTCTGAGCTGGGGCTTCCAGAATGAGTCAGGGTTAGCAGCCGGGGAGGAGGGGCAGGGCATGCTGGGAGAGGGAATGGTTGGGGCACAGGGACGTAGGTGGCTTCAGGAGAGTAAGGATCAGCTGGGTCAGAAGAGAGGCGCCGCAGTGGAAACTCCCTGTGGTGGGCCATCCTGCAGCAGACCTGCGTGGCTCTCAAATGGTTCATTCTTTAAGCACCCCCAGGGAGAGAAACTACTGTTTTCAGAGTACACGCATATGTGATTTAAAAAAAAAAAAAAAAAAAAAAAAAAAATTTGTGGCGCAGTGGGCCACACCTGTAATCCCAGAATTTTGGGAGGCCGAGGCGGGCAGATTGGGAGTTCGAGACCAGCCTGGCCAACATGGAGAAACCCCGTCTCTACTAAAAATAGAAAAAAATCAGCCGGGCATGGTGGCGGGCACCTGTAATCTCAGCTACTTGGGAGGTGAGGCAGGAGAATCGCTTGAACCCAGGAGGCAGAGGTTGCAGTGAGCCAAGATCGTGCCGTTGCACTCCAGCCTGGGCAACAAGAGTGAAATTCTGTCTCAAAAAAAAAAAAAATTAAAAAAAATTAAAAAAAATAAAATCGTAAGAGGAAACCATTTGGCACAGGCGGTAGGCAGGATGGGCTGCAGAGCCAGTAGACTGACAAGCCCAGGATGTTATAATCCCTGTAACATCCTTGAAGTTGTTCTCAACCTATTGAGTGCTGTCTGTATTACCTCATCTAATCCTCACAGCCGTCTGAGATTAACCCACTTTAACTACTGTCATCCCCTGTGAGAGGTGAGGCCCAGAGAGGTTGAGTGACTTGCCCAGGGTCACACAGCTGCCAAGCAGGGCGTAGCCAGGATTTGAACCAGGGAAGCCTGACTGTATCACGCCCTGGATGGGGAACTTAGGGATGAGCAAGACCCGGAAGGAGCGAGATCCGGGAGGGAGACTCAGCCCAGACAGGAGGCATAGCCGGCGCTCTGCGGTTCCAGGCGTTTCTTTGCATTCCCTGCGTGCTGGGCTACGGAGAGTGTCAAGGCCAGAGAAGCCACGCCGGCC